AGGTCTTGTAGCGTTGTGAAAGGTCTGTCGGGGTCTTGGGACTGGTTCTGGTTCCCCTGTAAGGACCTCAAGAAGCTCTGTACAACAGACGAAGGGGTTGAGTCGGCGGCCGCCCTGAGAAGACCAGATCAGCTCAGAAAATTTCAGTACAGTGATGGTCAAAAACCAGGAATTAAATTTCGGTGCGGGAACCAATGGGGACGGTAGAACAGAAGCAGGAAGATGTACCTACGCTCTTCCACCGTCAGCACCACCCTCCCTCGCTTCCTCTCCTTCTTCTCTGATGTCGCCACCCGTAGCGTCCAGGCCGGCACCTCCACTGCCTCCGTGGTTGTGGCTTGGATCATGGTCCGCGCCCTCGACATCCTCCATCGTCTCATCGTCGTCGCCGCCGCTAGAAGGACCACCTCTGGGAAGGTTTGCAATTGCATGCGCGACGTCGACTTCTTCACCCTGAAGTAATTCGTTGACAATTTCGCCTAGCTTGAGATCTCTGGGGCTGAACCAGCTAGGATCGCCTCTCTCATGCTGAGATCTTGACTGGAGCCAGAATAGATAGCGCTGCGAGCTGGAGGAGAACTTCAATACGAAGATTCGGCCGTTTGTGGGTGCGTCTTTGCCAGCTGGTTGATACGGGGTGAAGGTCCCGTCTGATGGGACCATTACGAGATCCAATTCGGGTTGGTCAGGAGGAGCGGTTCTTGGACGCCAGCAAAAGTGCACCAATTCATCCTCGGAGTAGAGGTAGATGTAACCTGGAGTAGGCTTCGGCTTGACCACGGGGTTTGAACTTGACACCTGCTCAGACGAAAAGCAGTGTTAGTAACGGTCATAAAGCAGTTGCCAGACCGAATCGTGGCCATTTGATAGACAGAGGTTATGGTCAAGATGTCGGGGTTGTAGTGGCAGATACTCACATCAAGGTCACAGATACCAGCTTTGAACGTAATGAGCGGGGCTATAGACATGGCGAAGGTCTATGAGAATGAAGAGTAAAGGTGGAAAAAGATGGTAGAGCTGGAATTTGTCAGCCGTATTGTGATGTTGTTCGAGGCGGGACGGTGTTGTTGTGATTGTTGGTAAGCTCTGAAGCAACGGGTTCCAGAAGTGTAGGTACGTCAGTTCAAGAATGATGGGGCTGAGAAAGCTTCCATTGCGTTAAAGGCTTCTATGGTTGACCGGAGCTGGACACCTCAGGCAAGCAACAGTGACCTTATCAGGGACTCCAAATCGGCACTAGCGCGATTCGGTTAATTGATAGGGCTCGCGTTCCCACAAACCTCAGGATTTCCGCCCGGGGCCGCAAGTAGTCAGTCACACTTCAATCCAACAACCACCCGCCGTCGACAACCACCCACCCCCTCCTACATTCTTTTCAGACCACCTTCGTCCCCGGTAGCCAATATGTCGGACTCTACTGTTGGCCAGACGAAGCAGTTTGGAAAGGGCCAGAGGACCGTTCCGGCTCAGAAGGCCCAGAAATGGTACCCCGTTGATGACGAGACGCAGCCCAAGAAAGTCAGTACGCCCTATACAGAGAGAAATGCTTGATTGGAGATGCGGTTTTATTTATGAATGAATGCGACGATTGCGCCGGTCAATGATGCCGCTTTTGTGTGTGGATCAAGCCCAGTGTCAATGTGAACATGAATTGATAAGGGAAATCGCATCTCCGGGGATATATCTGCATATCCATAGCTTGCAATTGTGTTCGGATTAATGGGAACAAGAGTTTTCTGACATGCTTGTGCGTTTGAACAGGTTCGCAAGGCTCTTCGTCCTACCAAGCTCCGGGAAAGCCTTCAGCCCGGTACTATTCTGATCCTCCTCGCCGGTCGCTTCCGTGGCAAGCGTGTCATCCTCCTCAAGCACCTTGACCAGGGTGTCCTCCTCGTTACCGGTCCCTTCAAGATCAACGGTGTTCCTCTCAGACGGGTGAACTCTCGCTACGTGATCGCCACTAGCAAGCGTGTGGACATCAGCAGCGTCGACCAGAGCGTCCTCGAGAAGGTCAGCGCTTCGGACTACTTCACCAAGGAGAAGAAGGCCGAGAAGAAGACCGAGGAGGCTTTCTTCAAGCAGGGAGAGAAGCCCGAGGTATGTGAATTCTGTCGATCAACTGGATCCTATGCACGACGGAGGAGGAAATTACTCCGTTGTGAGTCGACAACACGTACTAATATGCGACTGTTTACAACAGAAGAAGAAGGTTGCCAGCGCTCGTGCCAGCGACCAGAAGGCCGTCGACCAGTCCATCCTGGCCTCCGTCAAGAAGGAGGCCTTCCTCGGCAGCTACCTCGCCAGCTCCTTCAGCCTCCGGAACGGTGACAAGCCCCACGAGATGAAGTGGTAAACGTGCGTGGCGGCCGCGGGTTCGGTAGTGATTGTGGAGGAAATCTTGCGCGAGGGGCGGCTTGGATTGCAAATGGGCGTCCCCACTCCCTGGGGATCGCATATCTCTTTTGCAGCGCGGGAGGAACAAGTTCATGAAATAATGTAACTCGATACGGACTCCGTCTTTGCTTAGGATTGCGGTCAATTCGGAAAAACCGGTTGTCATTTCCTTGTTTCAACGAAAAGTCTCCTCCAGCGTGGCCCGATTTGCAGGACCTCTTTAAAGAAAAGCCGAAATGTCAAAGAAAAAAAAAGAATACCTTTTCCAGTTGTTACACGTGCCCTTGAAAAGACTAGGCTGGGCGTTATCGTTTTATGTTAAGTATGATACATCTCTCATTTCCGGGTTCAGGTCGAGATCCAAAAATAGGGACTGTCAGGTTCTGTTCCAACTTCCAACTTCAGCGTCGTGCACATCGCCATCTCATTTATTCTATCCGAAGCCCAAGCGACATCACTTACAGCGGGTATCAGTCCCAAGGAACATGCGATTGCGACCTTACAACGAGGATACTCGCTTTGAGCTGTCTCGAGAACGCCAGCGCAACAGTCTGTACGGAGTAGTAGCCCATGCCACCGCATCATCAAGCATCCAAATCCAAAATATAAAAGTGACAATCGCACCCATACCATATAGAAAACCATGACCTCATGAACCCACAAACCCCAAAAATTACTCATCCCTCTGCTTCCGCAACCGACGACGACTCCCATTCCTCAACCTCCTCGTAGACCCCTCCACAGCCCTTCGAATCTTCTCATCGATATCCCCCTCCTGGCCCAGGCTAGCGCTAAGCTGACTCTGCGCATCATCTATAACACTACCCGTTCCATCCTCACCATCGCCGACAGTCGTCCCACACATCCAGTCCAGAATACCCCAAGGCCCGAAATTCCCTTCCGCCCCACTTAGCAAATGCACATCCGTGCGACGCGCAATGCCACCCAGGAAGAAACTCGTCGGCATCACAGAGTACCCGGAGAAGGCGAAGGTCTCCTCAATGGATATTATGGACAGGTAGAGGAGGTAGGTGAGCATGTGGAGGCGGAAGAGCATGGCAGGTGCGTATGTTGGGATGAAGTTGGCGAGGAGGTATGCGATGGGGTGATCATAGTGCGCAGTGAGGGGAAACGGTGCGCGCAGTGAGTGATACCATGATTCATGGTACTTTGCGACACTATATTGCTTGGAGTGAAGGGCGTAGCGATGGACAGCGTATGCTAGGATCTACAGCGTCTCAAATGAGTCAAATACAGGCCACAGAGTTTATCCTCCCAAAGGGATGCGAGATCACTCACCTCTCTCCCGAACAGGCCTCGGAACAAGTCCTTGACAATCTCCCAGGGCATCGGCAATCGCATGGACACTTTGAGAGCGCTGCGCATTCCGAGCACCTTGGTGCGAACGACCTCAATGGCGGCTTGCGCGGCGATGCTCAAAGCAAGGTTGGCCAGCGCCCATCCCGCGATTTTGAAGTCCTTTGCTCGGATTTTGCTGCGCTTGCTTCCTGCAGGAAGGCCAATCTCTCCATGCGCCTTGATCACCACTGCTGCGGAGGGCGTCAAGACGTCAAACAGGAAGAAGAGGACCGAGGGAAAGACGTAAAAGAAGAGTCGCACGGCCATGGTACCGAACAATTCAACCCTGAGAGGAGGATGCGACAGCACAAGGGTCGACCATGTCATAAAGAAGAATAACAAGTTGAGGCTTGTGCTGTACGAGGAAATCGTAGGAATGAGAAATAGCGAAAGGACTGGCAGGGAGAAGAGCGCATCCATTTTGTTTGCGATCTGCGCATTAGCCTTCGGTATAAGTGTTAGATGTGCTTGTTTGATTCAACAATTGCATATCCCAAGGTCTGTAGCTGAAGTAATTTTGTAGAATATGCAATCTCTTGCCTGCAACTTGCAGATGTGTCTGACATGGCGATATTTGTGGCTGGGGTCCGCAAGAAATACTAAGTAGGGCACAAGTTTGCCTAGTTGCGGAGATCGCGATAAGCTTTACGTCACTGTCAGCAAAGCAATCATCTACAGGAATGCAGGAAAGTAGAACAATGCAATTGTTGCGCTTGCTAAATTGACGACGTCTTCGTGATTGGAAAGTGGGACCTTTTAAATGAAGGTAGCGATCCGATCGTTCAAAGACCATGTTCAGGTAAGGACAAGGAATGAAAAGGACGCTGTTATCTGCATCAAGACTGTATATATATTGCTTTCCCGTGATCGTCAGAATACTTATTCTGAGTAGCATCTTAGGACAGATCTTAGGACACGTCGCCATAATTCTTGATTCCATCCAATCATTCCACCAAGCTTTCTATAGATTTACGAGGTAACTAATGAGAATACTGATGTGCCTGGCTCCTGTATGTGCATTCGCTTAATGAGTTGCAAAAGTCCAAAGGTGGCACAAGAGTATAATTGAACAAGCAAACTAGGCGATGAGCAATTAGCAAGTAGAAGAGAATAATACTACTAATTTCATTTATCAGTCTTCTGAGGCTAAAGCACAGGACCATCACAATAACGATAAGAGACAGAGCAAAATGCTCGAGGGTATCTAAGAATACACCGCACAATAGGAACATGACGATACCAAACTCCTACTTCGACTGAGATGATGGAACGCCGTTCTTCAAGCCCCAATTGAAAGCCTTCTTTCGGAGATCAGGAATCACCTGCAGGAATACCAGGTTACTGAGCCAGCTTGTCACAGTATCGACAATGATCGAATTCCTAGGGCTGGCACCAAGAGCACTCGCTTTCATCATGTGGCCGACAAACATCGTAGTAATCAAATAGTCACCTTTCTCCAAGCTTTGAATCGACGCCCTGGCGACTTCAATCGGACGCTGTGGCTTGTCGGCAGCTTCCAGTTCCTTTGTAAGTTGAGGCTTGAGTTCTTGCTCGTTGTCAAAACCGGGGCTGAGAATACCCATGGGAAAGATAGTGTGGATCTTAACATCGGCCGGTGGGGCTGCATTTCTGGCTCTCGCTGCCCGAGCACCGTTGTACACCTCAATCTCTTGACTCAGAGTATCGGCCAGAGATCGAATGGCGGCCTTGGCCGGGGAATATGGAGCGTATCCCGTAATGGAGACAAAAGCAAGAGTGGAACAGGTGAAGATAAGATGTCTCTGAGGCAACGGTACCTGCTGGCTGGGGGCAATGGGCTTGAGCCAGCTCCTGAGAGTCGCATGTGCTGTATTCGCAGCGGTCCAATATACGGTGTCCATCTGGTTTCGCAGTGTGTTGACCGGGGTTTCGACGAAGAAACCAGGCTCACAGTAGCCAGCGCAACACCAAACGACATCTGGAGCGAGACCATGATTCCACTCAGTGACCTCGGCAATAACACGCTCGCATTCTGCGGCATCTGTCAAGTCGGCACTGATATAGTGGAATCTTTGTTTCTTGACGTCTTTGGCGGTTCCCTGCACTAATGTGAGCACCATAGATTGAAGGCAGAGACGGGGAGTCTGTCTACCTTAATGGCCTCCAGAGCTTCTCTGAGCTTCTGGACCGTGCGAGCCACGATAACGATGTTGGCACCTTTTTCAGCGAGCTGGCACGCCACAGCCTTGCCCATTCCATCGGAACCACCAGTGACAACAATGGTCTGCAGAGAAATGTTCAGCATGCAGTACGGTCTAAAATGAGAGTTCCCAACGTACCCGACCCTCAACAGGGAAATGGTTTGTTCGAAAGCCGAACATTTTGGATACGCTATATACGATAAGACCGCAGAGAATGAGTGAAATTCCCAGTGTAGCGGGGGAAGAGTCAGAGGGTATAAACGAATGAATTTGAGACATGAGAATAGAAACAAGTAAGAAAGATTCAGGAAGAGGAAGAAGAAAGCGGCTATAAACAATGATCCTCGTTTAGATGGGCTCCTGCCTGAAGGTCGTCGGCGTCTCAACTAGTGAAGAAGGAGCTCACAACAAAAGTTCCTGGATACCTGAGGCAGAAATTTCCGTACTCGCCGATACCAGCTCCCAGGCGGGTTTGGTATTATTGGGCGATGTCCCGCCCGTATCAATAGGTAAATAGACAAATAAAACAAACATACTTGACTTAGTTTAGCGCTGCGACGGCGGTGAGAAGTAAATCCCAGAATTTTATCGCAAAAGTCATCAACTCGACAGAGTCGATCTTGGTCAAAATAAGCTCATATCGCCAATTTTCCTCGAAAATGGCCAAGAAAAGGAAGGCGGGCGGTCGCCCTGCAAAGCAGAACTCCACTCAGGAGTCTGAGCGCACAAAGTTTGCTTTCGAGGAAAGGTTCGACGATTCCGAGGATGAGTTCGAAGCGGGCCGCGACCACATTTTGCTGGAAGAAGCCCCGGAGGCAAAGAGACGGAGGAAAGTGGCAGAGCAAGGTTTGTCTGAGTAGTTGCATTTTGCATTCGTCCTATCCGTTCCTGACTTTGTGTCCCATAGAGGAAGCGCTTCAGCCATCCGACGAGGAGATCATGGGCTACGAGTCTATGGACGAGGACGACCTAGACGACGAGGAAGATTACGAAGAAGATGTCTATGAAGATGAGGATGATGATGATGATGATGATGATGAAATGGGGATGGGTTCATCGAAGACCAAAAAGCCCCGCCGTGGCGATAGCCCTGGCTCGAATGCTTCAGAAGATGAGGAAGGCATTGCTGCGTGGGGAACGTCCAAGAAGGATCTTTACAACGCCGATCAAATCGAGACCGAAGCTGATGCGCTCGAAGAAGAGGCGGAAGCAAAGCGACTCCAACAGAAGCACCTACAAGCCATGAACGAGGAAGACTTTGGCTTCGACGAAACGGAATGGGTTGAATCTGACAAGAAGGAAGACGCAGAAGATGAGGCTGGTGTGGTAACGGAAGTTCTTCCGCAGGTGGAGATTACGGACGAAATGAGCACAGAAGAGAAGCTGAAAATCCTGAAGACGAGATATCCTGAGTTCGAGCCGTTGGCGAGAGATTTTGTCGATCTTCAAGCAAAACATGCCGAACTCGAAAAAGCTGCCAAAGCCGTGAAGGCGCCGGAAGACGAGGAAGCGATGTTGGGACCAGCTCCGGCTCCCGTCATCAAGTTTCGTGCTCTGTCGGCTTACCTGGGAGCGATTAGCATGTACTTCATGCTCTTATCGTCGTCTCAGGACGCATCTGGGAAACCATCTCCTCTGCCGCCCGCTCAATTACGAGCTCACCCAGTCATGGGGTCATTAGTCAAGTTCAGAAAGCTCTGGGAGACAGTCAAGGATCTCTCCGTTCCCGAAATCCCCAAGGAGGATGCTACGAAGAAGCAAGAGAGCAAGCAGCACTCAGATGCCCCTCTATCGACAACCAAGGAGCAAGTCCAGAAGAGCAAGCGAGAGCAGGAACCGAAAAAGAAGAAGAAGAACGAAAAGAAACTATCTAAAGCCCAGCGCGCAGCCGAGGCAGCACAGGCGGAAGCCGAAGCCCGCAGAGCAGAGAAGCTACGCGAGACGGAAGCGAACCTTGCAGACCTTTCGAAACTCGTCACAGAGCCCACCAAAAAGCGCAAGAGCCAGAAAACCAAGTCGGCACGGGACGCTGAAGACTCCGACTTTGGTGATGAGGATGCTCTTACCGCCAAGGAGGCCGAAGAAAAAGCCAGGCAGAAACGCTCGCTGCGTTTCTACACCTCCCAGCTTGCACAGAAGGCCAACAAGCGCAGTGCAGCTGGTCGAGACGCTGGTGGTGATGCGGATCTGCCTTATCGCGAGCGGTTGAAGGATCGTCAAGCTCGCTTGAATGCTGAAGCCGAGAAGCGTGGTAAGCAAAGACCAGACAAGATGGAGCAGCTTGGCGGCGACAGTGATGAGGAAGACCATAGACTCGCCAAGGAGCTCAGGGGCGGCCGATCCGGAACCGACGATGACGAGTATTACGATATGGTCGCGGCCCGCTCCAAGCAGAAGAAGGACGAAAAGAAGGCTCGCGCAGAGGCTTATGCGGCCGCAGCACGCGAAGGCGGACGTGTGGAGGTCCAAGAGGAGATTGGAACAGACGGCAAACGTGCCATCACCTACCAGATTGAGAAGAATAAGGGTCTTGCGCCGAAGCGCAATAAGGATTCCCGCAACCCCCGTGTCAAGAAGAGGAAGAAGTTTGAAGAGAAGAAGAAGAAGCTCGCCAGTATCCGCCAGATGTACAAGGGAGGTGAAGGTCCTGGTGGATATGGTGGTGAACTTACTGGTATCAAGAAGAACCTGGTCAAGAGTGTCAAGCTATAGATCATCGTTCAACTTTCCTCTTTGGATACATGCACAACGGGCGTTCATTGTGTTCTCTAAAATATGGGTTTGCGTGTACATATATAACCATCTGATGATATACACCTCTTTCAATCTCTTGCATTCTACTTTTCTCCTGCACCTCCATTCTCTTCACCTTTGCACCTCTCCATCAGATGCTCAGTGATACTCTGCATCCACAAAGCGAAGTAATACCACCTCAAGTAAAACTGAATTGATAACATGAAACTTCAGCGCAAGCTCTCTGGCTGATGTACCATGTGTTATTCTTCCATCCTAGCAGAGATGGACTCAAGCATGTCTCTCACCCCTTCAGCATCGCAAGTGTTCGACAAATTCCAGGTCAGGAAACGTCTCGCTAAAACGTCCTAGATTCAGCAAAGATTACCATCAGTCTTCCGCATCGCCCTAGAAATGAGATAATCCTACCGATTCAGCCAGAGTCTCTGTCTCTTCAGCCGACAATGTGGCACAAGCCGCGATCAGGTTCTCGCCGCGAGCAGAGAGAGCAGCGAGCTCATTCGCCCGGTCAACGATTGTTTGACTTACCCCGTTCATTGCTGCGCAACTGCTGAAGTGAGTATCTCAAGATCGTTTACTGTGAGAGGCACATACATCGTCCCGAAACTTTTGTTGCTACGACCTGGACGGAAACTGTACTCGGTATGAATCAGATATCATGGAGCCTTTGAATTGACCTCAAGGTATGCACGGGACCATACTTATAGAGATAGGTGATTTGGTCTTCCACTTGGCGAGCCTCTCCAGAGATACGAACTTCCATATGTCCCAGGTTGAGTCTAGGCCTTGGCTGAAGGAATCCGTTTTCGAATATTTCGTGAAAATGCGTTGCCGCGATGACCTTCGGCGCGTCCTCAAGGCTCAGCAAATGCTCAAGTATCCCGCAGGTGAGGCCGATGCCATCTGTGAGTCGCAGTTAAGTCCTGGCAGAGTGCTGGAGATAATGGAGAGACAAACCGCTTTCGTTGGTTCCCTTGCCGAATTCATCGATTAGGAGTAAGCTTCTTCCAGTTACCTGCTTCAGGTCAAAGGAAATTTGTTGAAGGTCATTCATGAATGTACTTTGGATCTGGTGCTAGTGAGCAGCCCGTAACAGCTTATCCTCGTTGCTAGGTTACGAAATCATACCTTTGACACACTCTCTTGGGAGTTCATTTTCACCAGAATCTTGTCAGTCACTCCGATTTCCGCCTTCTCTGCTGGAACGAAGCTGCTATGATCAGTTCGCTGTCACATAGTATGATTATAGCATATACCTTCCGACTTGTGCCAGATATACGTTCAGAGCAACCTGTCTCTCAGTTGAAGCCTCAGATACATGTTCACTGGAGGTCCATACCTGTTTCATATAGACGCTTTTGCCAGAGTAATTGGGACCGGTAAGAATAAGCATACTTGGACCATGGGGGTTCTCCAGCGCCTCCTGTGAGGCTCGACTTCCAGTCTCCCAGCTGCCCCCTACTAAAAACGTATCATTTGGTACGTATGATGGGACTGTCAACTCCTGAAGTATGTGCCTTGGATATGTCAACGATTTAGAATAATACATTACCAGGACGATCTCACCTGCCACCTTTGATTCTGATCATATTCTCCTCCACCATCCTGGGGCGAACCATATTATAGAAACTCGCTGCTTGAGCCATAGCAAGGAGACTGAAAGTATGAGTCTGAATCACCGATATGCGAGTCAATGCATTACCTGTCGATCTGGCCACACATATCTGACGCTTGCACGAGCACATCCTCATATTGCAGAACCTTCTGCGCAAGATCATACACAATCTCAATTTCCTTTTCTTCAAAAGCATGGAAGTTAGCTCATCGTCGCGATAAAGGAGATTCTTTGTAGAATACCGCAAATCAGCCCATATATGTCACCCAAGCTCTGGTCCATCTCCCTCATTCTGAAGTCCTTAAAGTATGCTCGATTCTCAGTGACAAAGATAAGCTCCCAATCATCAGCAGTGCCGCTGTAAGCTGCTTCACCCCTGTCGTTGAGTGGAACTGCAATATTGAATCCGAGCTGGGGAAAGTATATCACGTTCACGTCAATGTCGAGGCTTTCAGGTATTGTCGCTGCTATCTCTGTCGCAACTTCTTTCAGGAGATCGTTCAAACCGTCATAAGTGTCCTTCATCCGATCAAGTTCTCGGTCAAGACCTGGCTTCACAACAGTTCTACCTTGGTCTTCTGAGCAATCAATATCGACCTGTGGAAAAGGATTAGCTGGGGCGTCACCGAATCCTGAGCGGATTATACAATTTCCTGAATCATCCTTCCTACTCGGTACAGTTGAGATGCTTCAAATACACGGAGAGCCTGGACATTCATTAGTATGTTCGCAGCATTTCCATAAAAGGTCGTACCTGAATACGCAAGCTCAGGTTATCAGCACCGAATGTCTCCTTCAAGGCATCATGAAT